TGGAATTGATTCTCTGGCAACCAACAACAACATATGAGTCCTCCTTTAGGAGGAGACAGAGTAGATCTGAGCACCTCACCCCGGAGGTGCTTTCTTGCTCACTCTGGTGGAGGATGTCTTGGCACCACTGAATATACACATTCACTGGCTCCTCTGCCAGCTACTGAGCCCCAGGCTCGAGTGTGAAGTTTGTACAAGTTTCCCTTTATCTCTCCTTCCTCCAGAAGCATGCAGCCTTCCACAACTGAACTGAAGCAGGCTAGTGAGGCCTAGCAATGATGCTGAGAAAGGCACTGGGAGGCAAAAGTAAGGAGAAAAGGACTCTAAAGAGAATAAAAACCATGAACTGTAGGGTCAGCTGGTTATGGCTCCCAACTCCACTACTTATGGATTGTTTGATCTCCCTGAGCCTCACTTTCCTCATTAATGAAATGGGGGTAATAACAGCACCAACTCCTTGAGACTGGTTGTGATGACAGGACAAATGCTGACAGCCTGGCATGTAGGAGGTAGACCATCTGAGGAAGTCTGCTACCATCTGAGGAAATTGTGTTACCCTCTGAAGGATCTCTCAGCTTCTGCAGAGCCATCCTTCCCACTTGCTGTCTTAGTTATCTAGTGTTGCTATAACAGAAATACCATGAATGGATGTCTTTAACCAACAGAAATTTGTTCTTTCACAGTTTATCAGGCTAAAAGTCTGAATTCAGGATGCCAGCTCTAGGAGAAGCCTTTCTCTCTCTGCTGTCTCAGGGGGAAGGTCCTTGTCTCCTTTCAACATCTGTGGGCCCAGCATCCCTTGAAGATCTCCAGGTGTCTTGGTGTCAATATTCCCCTGGATCTAATAGGTTCTCAGCACAGGCAGCCTGGGTCCAACAGATGCGCCCTTCTTTCTTGGTAGTAGTCAGGTCCCTCTGATCTCTGCTCACTTATTTAATCTTTTATATCTCAAAAGAGATTGACTCAAAATACAACCTAATCCTATAGATTGTATCCTGCCTCATTAACATCATGGAGGTTAGGATTTACAACTCATAGGATAATTATATCAAATCACAAAATGGAAGATAATTACATACTACTGAGAATCATTGCCTAGCCAAATTGACACATGTTTTGGGGGGACACGATTCAATCCATAACACTGCTAACTCAACTTCCCATTCCTCCCTGGGGAAGACAATGTCAATACCCCATTCACGCCCTTCACCCTACCACCAGATCATCAGGATAGCTCCTATACGGGCCAATTACTTCTTGCATCTCTCTGCCTGGGGATGTCCCCAGGAACAATGCTAGGCTTGCATAGGGCAGCTGGGGAGAACTGCCTAGGGGTTCAGGATCCCAGGATGGACCCCAAGCAAGGAACTCCTAGAACAATTCTGGAGTACATTTGATGTGGTTTTTCAGAGGGTCTCCAGTAGGACTGGGCCCCAATTGCCCACAAGTGGGCACCTACTCTTATGGACTTGTTCCCCCTCTGTTTACTCCCCACTTCCTCACTGTGCCTCTTGGGATCACCTCCCAAATAAACCGTCCACACTCAAATCATGTGTCAGGGTTTGCTTTTGTGGCAACTTAAACTAAGACATCCTCCGTCTGGAGTGTCTTCCTCCTATCATCTAGCTGTGAGAATCTTGTCCATCCTTCAAGGCCCAGCTGAAAGGCCACCTCCTGTGTCTCCCTCATTTCTTAGTCAGAAATGATGGCTCTTCTAGGAGTCCCCATTGACATATGCCACTTTTTCTTCTGTCTGGCACATCTGCTCTTTCTCCTTTTGTTATAGTCAGATATTCTAAGTTCATGTGATGGCTGAGATGTCTGCAAACACAGACCTGTCACACATCAGGTCCTTAGGAAACCTTTGCCAATTATTGCAACTTTTAATACTACTCATAGTTAATATTTATTAGGTGTTTACAATATGTGAAGCACTTTACATGCATTTTTACCCTGAAATCTCACAACTATAGATGATAGGTACTGAAATCATTTTGCCCATTTTAGAAATTAAAAAAAAAAAAAAAACTAAAGTGAAAGGATAAGTCACTCAGACAAGGTCACACAGTCAACTAACTCAGGTTCACAGTCCTTAGGTATTATGTGACTCAAGTTGTAAATTCTTCTCTCAGAAGCAGTCAGTTCCCAAAATCTCTAGTTAATTCATCATCAATAAAGAATTAATCACAGCTGAGGCAAACCCACCAGCTTAGTGTTTCCTCCAACTGAAGGGACCTAACAGTCCCCATGGAGCCCAACTGTGGAAGCTGAAGAAAAAGTCCAAGCCCTCAAGGACATTCTCAGGTAGCTAAGATTAGCTGAGAAACTCTCCAGGACAACAAATGACAATCAACTGGATGAGGGGCCCCCAGCTTACCCCAGACCCTTGTGCACAAGTTGTCTATGATCCCAGCTTCACAGTCACACAGTCCATCATCAACTTCTCAGGACTATATACCACCTCACGGAATTATCCAAGCATTCTCCCCATACCAACCTAATGTGATAGCCCAGTCAATATGGGTCAAACTTAGATCAACTCATTGGTGCTAGGGATGAAAAAGGAAGCCCCAAAAGAGTACAGTATAGGATTCCATTAATGAACTTTATGTTCAAAAACAGGCAACAGAAATCATAGTAGTGGTTCCCCTTGGAAGGAGAGAGGGAGTGACTGGGCATGAATGGGCTTCTGGGGGCTGGAAATATTCTGTTCTTTATCTGGATGTTAGTTACATGGTGCAGCATAGTAAATTACTTAGTGTGGCTTTTCTACCCATAAGTCTTTGTAAACTCCAAGGTGGGATTTTCTATGAGCAACTGAGGAG